TTCTCTCCTCGACCCTGGACTTTGGCAATGGAGATGAAGTGAATGCAGACCTAGTGTATGAAAAACTTTCAAAGCATTGCTCTGTATGCCTTATGCTAGATCATGATGCCAAGGACTGCCTTGAAGCTGTGGAGTCTCCTTCTAGTGTGATGTCTGGTACTCTACTGAAGGCAGTTGAAGGTAAGGGTCGTGCCCCATTAAGACATGAGGTGACGCGTAGGACAAGATATCACCAGAATCACAACACACTTCACAGATCCCCAAGGAGCCTTCTTGTTGCTAATGACCCCTCCTATCATCCAAGGGGTGAGGGGTATCCACGCTATGGGAAACATCACACTAATGAGTATACCTATAGATATTCACATAACTCACCATGAAAAGATCATTCAGTTCATCTCATACAAGAGACTCATACAACAATGATCTAAAAAGAAAGGAGAAGATACCTCAATATATTATTTGGGTGGAGACAGTGGCGGATCTATGTTCAGCTACAGTAGGGCAATTGACCTAGGTTAAATAATATAAATTTTATTTGTGAGCTAAATTTGTAAAGTAATAGTAGTTTAAATGGTTAAATTCTCAACTGCTGCACTTCCCAACCCGTGATCAAATTTTTCCTAATACATGTAGAGTTTAATTTTTTGTCCCTTTTAAAACTTATGACCCACCTAAAATTATTTTCTGGGTCCGCCAATGGGTGGAGACGAGGAGGAGAGAGTTACCAAGAGCGTTACTCTCCTCTCAGGAGAAATCAGATTCTTCAAGACCAAGACGGCCGCCATTGGAATGTGAAGTGTCCCAATCTTCTCCAGTACCTTTACCACCTGTTGGAACAATACCACCTGAGGCTATGCAAGTAGCTACTGATGAAATTCGAGAGGTAATGGTCCAATATGCCTGTTGTGCAGATCCAACTGAGAGTGCAGCATGCAGAGAATGGACCAGACTTGTAGAGGAACAAGGGCAATTTGAGGAAACTGTTGTTTTAATGGTCAGATATTCAATGAAAATCTCAGCAAGGGAAAATACAATAGGTAGACGAAGAGAGACATGATAATAGTATTGTTGAAGTTTGTCGTTTGATTTTGCACTTGAATCATGGTACCATGTGTATATAACCTTATAAAATACATAGATACAATTAAAATACATAAAATTACATCAATACAAAAAGAAGAACGTAAAATTATGAAAATATTCCCAAAAAAATTAAAATTAAAAAAATAGTCCACATCTTTTATAATCTAAAATATAGGCTAAATTGTTTCTTTTTTCTAGTATTTTGGGTCTTTATAAGTTAATTTTCAAAAAAGATTTAAAATGGAGAAACTATGTTGTAAATCATAATCATCTCCAAAGGCCAAAAGCAAAACGACAAACCTAAAAAAGTATGCACATTTCCAATGTAGACATAATAGAATCACCATAAGTTTACCTTTTGATGGAGGTTTTATACAGCTTAGAATTTGATGAAATTTGGTGATGAGATAGGTTTTTGAGTTAGTTTTCTAATACAAGTGATTTCAAGTCATTTAAAGATGTGGTTGAAGAGTTATATGCGTTTTACTGGAAACATGTCGGATTGACTAGAGATTGAAGCAGACCTAAATATGAATCAATACTGGTCACATAGATTCTAAATCCCCTAGTTGAGTTTTTGTATTAAATTTTATTTTAGTTTAAAATATTATCTTAAAAAAAAAATTTTAACATTTTGTTGTTAATTTCATAATGAACATTTCACACTTTATAAAGGAAAAGACTATTTTTTAATTTTAAAAGATGTAGTCTATTTTTTAATATGAATGCAAATTGATAAGAAACGACGTAAAAAATTATTATGTATGCAAATTGGTTGTTATATATAATTATGAATGAAATTCGTTATTAAGGGTTATATTAAGTTTTAAATGGGTTTTGGGCCATAAACATAGTTACCAAATTTCGTGTTTTGATTTATTGATTACGTGTATCGATTTAACAATAAATATAATAATATTAAGATTTTGCTTTCCTATGCCATAACTTGCCATATCGTAATTAAGTTTGGCCGTCATATTTTATTTGGTTATATACTTATATTGATTGTGCTGATGATATCTAAGCTAATTTTAAAAAGTCACTTCTCAAATTTTATTATATAAAAGAGGATGTGCGCGATGAGAAGATGATAAGTAAGCAAAATTATAACTCAGCAGATCGCGACATGTGACTAATATTAAAAAGATAATGACATGTGTTAACACTTATAATTAATTGAGAAAATATAAAAATAAAAATGGAAAACAGACAAAACATTTGTCGACTAACTAACAAAATAAGAAAAAGTAAAATTTTCTTACAGTTTCAAACTAATTAGAAAAAATAAAATTTCCAATAGTCTAAATTAAATAGATAAAAAAATATAACCTTTCAAACTAATTATAAAAGTAGTTTAAACAATAAAATAAAGAGAGTATAAACTATAAAAAATAAAGAATAGGGAGAAAAAAATTTTCAATCAACAAAAATAAAATGTGAATGATAAAACAAAAGATATTATATAAATTGGAAAAAAACAATTAAAAGGACTACGAAAATCTCAATTTTAAATTTTAAGATACGCACAATCCTCTTAATAATAAGACTGACTGTTTAGCGCGATTATCCCGTTCGAGGATGATTGAATTTTCTTATTTATGCAACAACTTCAAATTGGGTAACCAATAGATGAAATTTGTTTTAATGAAATGATTTGTTGAATATATATATGCAGAACGATACCAAAGAAACAAAAAAATTATAAGCATATTTATTTTGT